TAGTCCAGAAGGCGACTTTCTAGTTTCATTTGTAGTAAAAAATCTTGGTAATATTTTGTGTAATAACTATTTAATTAAATGATTTGTAACATTAATAAAATTTTGGCTAATTTAGAATTCGATTTACAAATTGACATTAAAAATTCGGATGACGCAGGTGATTCAACATTAGAGAACAACTCAGAGCAAAAGGATGGTATGAAACCAGAGAGCGATCCAGAACTAGGAAATGACCAAGAATAATCGTACAGGAAACTTTTTAGTATTCCTACCACATTTAATTTTACAGATACGCAACTAACTTTAATTAAGGATAATCATGAAAACATATTAGGATGGAACGTTGCCGTGTCAGATAAATCATTTAGTTCATCGGAATTTAGATTATTAACAATATCGTTTATCAGTCTATATATTATAAAGAAAATTCTAATCAAGTGCATCCGATGGAAATTCGAAATCATGGAGGCGATTATTCAATCCACGATATCGATAATAAAGAATTACCGATTAAATGTGGTGGAATAGTCAGACTATTCTCTGAAAAAGAATATATAAATAATCAAAAGGTTGAACAGATAACAGACAAAAGCAATAAAAATGCCGATGGACACATTCTTATTCTCCTAACACTTTCAGGGATATATAAGTATCGTATAAAGTATAAGTCTATTAAAAACATACAAAAATTAAAATATCCAAGAAGAATATACAGTGTATTCATTAACTATCTAGATTTGTTTTTTGGTATTTTCCGTTACACATTAGAAGAAGCATATAATTATATAAGCTCTTATATTTCATTATATTTAAATAAGCATTATTTTTTGGTTGACACTATCAAAGAAGGCATTGAATATATGGAACTTTATGATTTAAAGACAAACCAATTAATAAATACCTTTCAGAGACAGGTTTCACGCAAATAGATCATGTTTGATATATGGCCTAGCTTTGCAATATCAGATAATGAAAAATTACTAGTATATCTATCTATTAAAAAAATCAAAATATATTCGATCGAATGCGGTCTTGAAATAATGGAGATTGAAGTAGAAAATATTGTATATAATGGATTTTTTAATGAGTGTATAATATTTAATTTTTTCACAATGACGAGATATTACTTATGTATTATAATGATGAATGATCTGTCTGTAATATTTTCGGCTCATTACAAGATTCTGTTAAATTAGAAGAGCTAGAATTTATAGAGGAATTAAGATTAATAGGACCATCAAAATCACTCATGGTCGTTTATAATGGTAACGAAATAGATATTTATGACGATTTGTTTGTAGATAAATACTTGAGGTATCTAAAGAGAAATACTGAACAAGATTGGAAGAAACTATCAAAGGAAGATCTCGATAATAAAATTCAAGAATCTGAATTAGATAAACATCATAACATGCTTGAACCTTGGCACTGTATTGCCGATGCTGATTTATGCGCTCCACAACATTGGTTCTACCTTGATGAGAAAAAAGAAAAAGTCCTTTTAATTGGTCACCATTCAATTCAAGTCTGATATGATCGGGGGCCAGAGAAAGGTCCAAAAAAAAGATCTCTTGAATTCATTTATGTTCCTTTATCTCAATTGCCCCTTCCTCACAAAGAAATTTTGGATAACTGGGAAAATAAAACAATGAAAGTAATGGAAATCAAGTATTGTATCAGAAAATTCAAGCTTAACATTCAAATTGAAGATAACAAAGAATCTCTTAAAATTAAAGTAATTAAGCAAATTAATAAAATGGAAGATGTCGAAGGATCTATTCAAATTAAACAAATTAAAATGGAAGAAGAAGAAGAAGATATTATAAATGTAGTAAAATATTCTTGTTATGCCCTTAAATATTTATTTTTTATAAAACGGTCGAACAGTTTTTTGCTGAGGAGTTCAGATTAAAATTCTATGATATAATAGAAGAAAAACGAAAAATAATTTTGAGATTTATTAGATTGTACCCAATTACGTGGCGATTGTTAGATTTTCGCTTTGATTTAATGAGCGTTATTATTGAGGCAGAAGATCATGAGCTTGTAAACGACATTTTATCTTTTGGAAATCGATTCATATACCGCAATATTTTTCTTGGTCAGGTGAAGGTGGTATAAATACAATTCGTAATGCCTTTTCTGGTTTGTAATTTAAAATAGCGATAATTACTTGTAACTGTACTATATGCATTAAATATTAACATTTTTACTTATTTCCGGAGCAGAGCGGAGGAACTTAAGTCCAGACATTAGTGAGAGAAATGGGTTCCGTGTGGATTTAAGGGGG